GAGTGGAGGACAGTGCAGAAGGGGAAGACCCTCTATGAGGTGGATTGATTCAGTGACTGGGGTAATCGGGATGGGTGTGTCAGAGGCAATGTGATTGGCACAGGATAGAGCAGGGTTTAGGGCTGTTGTACATAGTGTCGCTGTGAGTCGCAAATGACTCGACGGCACATAGCAACAACAACAACAACAACGACAACATCCTTTAATAAATTTGAAAACCTAGAGGAAATGAACAAATCCCTTGCAATTCATGTCCTACCCAGACTGACAAGGACAGATATAGAACACTTAAACAGACCCATCACAAAAGAAGAAATTGAAAAAGGTATTAAAAGACTTCCATATAAGAAAAGTCCTGGACAAGATGGCTTCACAGCTGAAGATGATTGATTTATCACCAATCCTACATAAGATATTTAAAAAAATTAAAAAATAAGGAACACTTCTTGAGTCATTCTTTGAAGCAAGCCTTACCAAAAACCAAAACCATACCAAGATATTACCACTAAAGAATACTATAGACCAATATCTCTCAAAAATATAGATTAAAAAATCCTTAACAAAATCCTAGCCAATAAAATCCAGAAGTACATAAAAATAATAAATCATCATGGTCAAGTGGGATTCATAACAAGTATGTAAGGATGGTTCAACATAAGAAAAGCAGTCAACGTAATTCACCACATTAACAAAGCAAATAACAAGAAATATATGATCTTAGGAATTGATGCAGAAATGGCACTTGACAAAGTCCAATACCCCTTCCTGATCAGCAAAATTGGAATAGAAGAAAATTTCTTCAACATACTGAAAAGCATATATGCAAAACAAAGAGCCTACATCATTCTCAACAGAGAAAGACTAAAAGCAATTTACTTGTGAACAGGGACCAGAGAAGGATGCTCACTGTCACAACTTCTACTCAATATTGTATTGGAAATGTTTGCTAGGGAGGTACAAGAGAAGGAAATAAAAGGCATCCAGATCAGCAAAGAGATGGTTAAACTGTCGCTATATGTACATGATATGACAGTTTACACAGAAAACCCCAAAGACTGAACAACAACAACAACCAAAAAAAGCAAAAAAAAAAACCCACCAAAAAAACCTGTTAGAGCTCATAGACAAATTGAATAGAGTGACACGATATAAAATCAGTATCCAAAAATCAGTGGGATTTCTTTACAGTAACAAAGAAAACTCGGGAATTATTTCCAATAATTTCCAAGAAAGGAATACTATTTACTTTTTATTTACTATTTTGTAGCCAACCACAAATTGAGATATTTGCATATGAATCTAACTAGAAATACAAAAGATCCGTACAAAGGAAACTACAGAACATTTGTGTGAGACAAAATAAAAGGCTTCAATAAATGGCAAAATGTTCCCTGTTTATGGATAGGATGACTCAATATTGTGAAAATGACAATCCTACCAAAATCAATCTACATGTTCAACACAAACTGTCAAGTTTATTTAGAGAAGCAGGAGACCCCAAATAAACAAAGCACTTCTGAAAACAAAAATAAGGTGGGAAGCATAGCACTCTCTGACCTCAAAACCTCAAAAACTACACAGTGGTAGTAATCAAAACAGCATGGTACTGGTATGATGACAGACACATAGACCAATGGAACAGAACTGAGAACCCAGAAATGGACCAAGCTATCTATGGTTAACTGATATTTGACAAGGAAATGAAACCTATCAAATGGGGAAATGACAACCTCTTCAGCAAATGGTGCTGGCAAAACTGGTCTCTACCTGCAGAAAGCTGAACC